ATTTGTAGAGTTGTTTGTGGTCTTTATTATCCTCTTAATTTTTATGGGATCATTCCTGATATTGATATTTTGCCTTCTCTTATTCTTGGTCTGCCTGGCTAGAAGCTTATAAATTTTATTGATTTTTTTTTCAGATAACGAACTTTTTGTTTCATTGATTTTCTTTTTTAAAGATAAGTTTCGCTTTTTTTAGTTTCTTTGATTGCTGCTCTGTTATTTTATTTCCTCTGCCTTGCTTTGATTTATTTTGCTCTATTTTTTCTAATTTCTTAAAGTAGAAGCTTACATTATTTATATCATCTTTCTTTTATTTTATTTAAAAATTTTTAAATTATAGTTTGTGTTCAATAATATTTTGTATTAGTTTAGTTGTACAGCACAGTGGGTAACAGTTATATACTTTACAGAAGTCCCCGATAGTTCCAGTGTCGTCTTTTCTCATGTATTTTATACGGTCGATTGTCTCTAAGGCTTTATCTACATCCCACACACTTTGTGTTGTGTTTTTAGTTCTCTTTAGTTCAGATTCTCTTTCTCATTTCCCTTGAGGCTTTTTCTTTGCTTATTTATTAGAAGTGTATTATTTAGTTTCCAAGTGTTTGGAGATTTTCCTGTTTTTCTTTTTTTACTTTCAACCCTAATTCCATTGTGGGCAGAGAACATATTCTGCATGACTTCAGTGATTTTAAGTTTCTGGTTTGTCTTGTGACCAGAATGGCCCGTCCTGGGGAGTTTTCAGTGTGTGTGTGACAGGACTGTGCACCCTGCCGTTACCCGGTGGAGTGCTCGCTAGGTGTCCGTCTGTCCCGTTGGCTGATGGTTTTGTTCATTTCTGTGTTTTGCTATTTTCTGTCTCTGAGTTCTGTTGACTGCAGACGTCTCTCTAATGTATCCCTTTCTCCTTCCAGGCCCGTCCGTGTTGCCTAGGTGTATTTGAAGCTTCAGGGATATCATTTCCCTTCTGAATACCTTCCTTTAGCAATTATTGTAGAGGAGGTCAGCTGGCAGTTAATTCCCCTAGTTTTGTATTAGTTTTCTATTGCTGAGCATCAACTTACCACACACTTAGCGGCTTAAAACAACTTATACTTTCAGTTTCTCTATTTGCCACCAGTTGCCTGTCTGCCATACTTTAACTGCTAGCTGTCTTTTACCCTCTCCTTTCACTGAGTTTCTCAGGCAAATAAGTTCTTTTTTGGGTAATATTTCTCCTGTCAGTTCCCACTTTTCCACTCTCAGGCTCCCCCCCCCCCCCCCCCGCCCCATCCCCCAAGTCACATATCTGGACTAATGGGATAGCTGGCTCCACCACAGGACAAGCCAGAACCATTGTTGGTGACAAGAGAGACCAAAACATGGTGAGGAATCAGGAAGGTGGGGTTAGAGCTGGGCTAGGAGATGGGAGCTTGGGGCAGAAGAGGGAGCCCGGGGCTTATGGGAAACTTGCCTCACCTGGCATGTTGAGTTCGACCCAGCTCATTAATGTATTAACACAACAATGACTCCCCAGAAAGGGGGTTCTAGCAGGTGTGAGGGGCCAATTAGGCTTCATTGAGCTTGACCCTGGGACTTCAGGGCTGCTTCTGGGCGGATGCTGGTAATAGCCTAAGCCTCCTCCCTGTCCCTGTATAAGTGGCATTCTCCACTTGGGTCCAGTTGACTGTCTCCCAAAGAGCAGCCCTGAGCCTGGGCTGACAGCTCTCAACACCTTCCAAGTTCAAGGCCGTCCCTCTACCATTATCTCACTCTCTCCCCCACTCTTACCCTCTGCTTCAGCTCCACTAGGCTATTCTCTTGGTCTCCAATAGTCCCCACACTGTCTTATCTCCACACCTTTGCTCATAGCATTCTATCTGCCACCGCCACCACCTACCAGTCCTACCTGTCAGAGTTATAGCCTTCACCACTCCTGCTCCTCTCGGATGGACGCGGCTGACTCCAGGAAAGCTTTATGCCTCCCGATCGATCTCGACCTTGGTTGGAGGTTGGTCCCTCCCTGTGCTCCTCCCTAACCTCCTGTTGTCCATGCCCGAGGGCAGGTGTAACTGACTGACTCTCAGCCTCGGTGTGGCAGTGCCACTCAGTAATCTCTGCTGCACGGGAGTGAATGGAGTCCGGCCCGAGGTGATGGGACTAGGTGACACACCGTCTCTAGAAAGTCTCTCAGAGAAATGGTGTGAATCGGGGACCACCGGGCGGGCCCTCTTGGGAGCCCTGCTGGATGCTTGTATTGATGAGGTGTCTTCTGTAAAAGGGAGACTCTCTTATCTGTGACATCGCCTGTTTGTTTTCCCTTCAGTGTGAATACTTTGAAGGGTCAGGAAATAGGAAACAGCCCCCTTAAGCATGAGGTTCAGAGGCGCAGTCCGGCTGACTGCGGGAGTGGAACTGCGAGCTCATGGAGGCCCGTGCCGGTCCAGCCCATTCCTCTCCCCTTTGCGAAGCGCGGAAGGAAGAGCAGATTTCTCTGCGCCAAGCAGGCAGCTGCATTCAGGTGATAAATGCGTCCCCGGACAGAGGCTTGTTGAGTGATATTTACCAGGGTTTCCGTGGAGGGCCCTCCGCTCCCAAGGGAGCATTTCAGGCCTCCAGCCGCTCAGCTGTTGGGTGGACGCCCTGGGGCGGTGGCAGGATGGAAGCATGCGATGTGTTCAGGTGCTCACATGCTTCTTGGTTTCTCTCCCTATGTTCGCCCTCCTCCCTGCCCCAGGCAAACCCGAGCAGATAGACCTGGAGCAGGCGAGAAGCTTAGAGCCTTCAAGTGTGTGTGTAGCGGGTGGGGGCGGGGAGTGAGAAGGGGGGGAGGAAGGAGGGGCGGGGGAGTCAGGGCCAAGACCTCCGCTGGGTTCAGCCCTGGCTCTCCCTCCTGGTGGTCCTTGCCAAGTTCCATGGTTTCTCCAAACCTCAGTCTCCTCAGAAATAAGGTGGAGAGGATAGAGCCACCTCACAGGGTTGTCATACAGATAAAATTAAGTCTGTGTGCAAATACTTTGCACATCATAAAATGTGCTCTGGCATACGTCATCCATTCAGAAGGTCCTCGTGGCATGCCTGCTGCATGCCCAGCATGCCAGGCTGGGCTGGGTTTGAAGGCTTGTTTCCAGGATGTGCGGGTCAGGAAGAAAAGCAGGTCCTGGGGTAAAGGCTGTCCCACATCACACCTCTGTGCTGTCCCTGAACACGCTCCGTTCTCGCACTTTCTAGGCCTGAGCGCTTGGGACCCTTTCCTGGTGGCTGAGTCTGCAAGGAACATGGCTGAGTCGGGACTCTGGTGCCTCATCACCAGGCATGTCAGTGTGGGTCCTCCAGGGAAACAGAGCCAGTAGGACACACACACACACACAGATTCATTAGGAATTGGCTCACAGGCTTATGGCGGCCGAGAAGTCCCAAGGCCTGCAGTTGGCAAGCTAGAGGCCCAGGGGAGCCGATGATGTCAGCTCCAGTCTGAGTCCAAGTCTGCAGGCGGGAGGTGCTCAGTGTCCCGGCTCTTGGACCGTTAGGCAGAGAGGGGTGTCTCTCCTACTCCACCTTTCGTTCCGCTCAGGCCCTCAGTGGATTGGATGCGGCCACCCACATGCGGGGGGCGGGGGGTGGGAGGGGGGCTATTTGCTTTCCTCAGTCCACTGCTCCCAAGGCCAACTCATCCAGAAACACCCTGACAGACACACCCAGAGTAACGCTTGACCACATGTCCACACACCCTGCGCCCAGTCAGGGTGACAGCAGAACGTGCCGTCTCCAGGGTTGACGTTCACATGGAGCATTCAGGCTTACGAGGCAGGTCACGCCAGATCGCATTTGACCCGGTAATGACTCAGCAAGGCCTCGTCACCCCTCTCCGTCGTGTAACCCTGATGTCACAGGTTCAGCAGCCTGGCTGTTTGAAACAGGCCATGTTCATTGTCAGCCTAAATCTCGAGGCAAGAACCTCTTCCCGCTGGGCAGCAGGAAGTCCGCTCCTGTCCAGATCCCCTGCTCCAGCCCGTGAGAGCCGCACGTCGCTGAGTCACCTTCCGCCCCAGTGCCCGGTGCTCTCCACCCTCCCACGCTGGCCCCTGGACAGCAGGACCCTTTAAACAGCCGTCATGTTATCTGTGGACTCAATATTGTCATCGTTTCTGCAGCGTCTGAGTGGAACCGTCACCCCGGGGAGGTGGGGCATCTGCCTCTGCTGAGCCCCCAGGCGCTGCGGGGCGAGGACCCAGCGCCCCTCGGACACGTGCTCCCGTGGCGGCTGGCTGGCCTCACGGGCCACAGTGCACAGCGCTTACGTTTCAGAAGCCTTTTGTCAGTTTACTCGTAACGGTGAGCCAGGCGCTCCTGGGTATCTGTGTTTATTTAAAGGCCATTGTGAGATGTTCTGTTACGTTCTGTCATAGGGGAAATATGAATTTATTAATTCCGATCGGCAGCATTTCTCAAGCCCACATTTCAAACGGTGCTGCTCCCCCTGCCATGGCAGCCACGGGTGTGCACGTCTGGCTCCTCAGCTGGGAGGTGCCTTTTTGGCCTGTGTCTCCCCGGGCCGAGCGTGGTGCCAACACGGGGCAGGTGCTCAGCTGCTATTTCTGGGTGGAATGGGATGGAGCGAGTGCTGGGAGGATTGCCACACGCTCACTCACCTGAGCTCTACCTCGGAAGGGCCCCCTGCGGGCCCACACAGACAAGGCAGGTGGTGCTGTTCCTTCGCAGACAGTTGCCAAGCACCTACTATGTGTCAGGCACTCACCAGACGCAGGGAGGGCAGTACTGGCTCTGGCGCAGCTCCTTCCTGTGGGGAGTGCCCAGCCCAGTGGGGGTGACGGCCAGAAGCACCCCGAGTGCATCCCGAGAAGCATGGACGGAAGAGGGAAGAAGCGGCAGGGATGCCAGGAGGGGGCGCAGGTGACCTGGCACCAGGGGCCCGTTGGGCGGGGCAGTGCCACAGGACCACTTGGTTGACTGCCGTGCTCAGGGCTTCCTCTCTGTGATGGGCTTGCGCTGCACTTTCCCCGCAGGGCCTGTGCCAGCAGCGAGACCGAGAGCGAAGCCGGAGACCTCATGGACCAGCAGTTTGAAGAGATGAACAGTAAGCTCAACTCGGTGACGGACCCCACAGGCTTCCTCCGGATGGTTCGCCGCAACAACCTCTTTAACAGGTGAGAGTGGGCGCTCCCAGCCGGTGCGGGGCGAGGTGCCTTCAGCGATGCTCCTTCCCGCCGCCGGCTTCTGGTCGTGTCCTGCGTTCGCAGAAGCGAGCGTGACCTCCCACAGCCCGTGCTCCTCTGGGCCTCAGTGTCACAGCGGCCCCTCGGGGTCAAGTGAGAAGAGAGCGCGGGCTCGGAGGGACAGTCGGCGTGTGGCTGTGTGGGAGGCGGTTGGCCCGTCTTCACGGAGCCTTGAGCTGACTTCCTGACTACCAGGTGGAGGCGGAGTAGCATGGCACACTTCCCTGCCAGCTGGTGCCTGTAACTCTGGGGCTGGCACCTGTGTTGACCCCCTGGCCTGAGGTTGACGGGGCCAAGGAGAGTGGGGAAGCCGGCACTGCTGGAGGGGGCGCTGGTCCAGACCCAGGCCCACCTGTCTGCCCCGAGGCCCCATCCCCATCACTTGATCAAATAGGTTTTAGTGGTTTTGAGAAGAGTTGATGTTGGAATTGCCACCAGCACACCCTGCATCTTTTCATCAGGGGTGATGGCTGAGCTGTGTCCAGAAAAACGGGCAGGCAGTTGGGGTTGAGAGGCACCTCTTCTACTGCATTTGGTTGCCTGGCAACAACCGGGGAGTCACATTGAGGTAGACCTTTCCAGAAGGGCACCTGGGCTCTGGGGTCTCTGCCACGTCCCAAGGGCCTGACTCAAAGGGCAGCAGGGTGAGCTGGACTCAGGAGGGAGGTGCTGTGCTCTGGGAGGCAGCCTCTGCCGGGCGCCTGCTGTGCGGGGCAGTGCGTGCCCGCCTGTCCCTGCCCCAGGCCTGGGTTCCTCTCGGTATGTGCTGTCAGGGGGAGCTGGGTGGGACGGGAGCCAAGGGCCAGGGATGTAGGAACTGGCAGCTTGGCTGAGAGGAGACCAAAACTGTGAGCTGGTTCACCGCATTCCTCCTCCCTCCGTCCCCCGTTAGCAGGTGTCCCCACAGCCTTCAGTTCTGTGGAGGGAGACGGTCACGGGGAGGCCTGGGCTCACACCGTCCTAGGCCAGCTTCTCAGCCCGGGAGGCAGGTGGTTCTCGCTCTGCCGGGTGACGTCCGTGGTTGTAAACTAGAGCGGGGACAGCTCAGGGCTCAGGGTCGGGCCTTGCCGTGTGCCGGCTGTGGGACGGGGGGCAGGTGATTTCACCCGGGAGCCTCACTTTCCTCGTCGCTGAAATGGGGACACGCTTCCTGCTTTGCAGTGTTCCTTTAACGTGGGAAGTAAAGGAGTTAATATCCAAATAACACACTGACCGGCTGCCTGAGGCATAGGCGGCACCGCACACCTGTGGCTTCCTGCCGTTGGCATAGTGGGAAGGACACTGCTAACGTTGAATTCTTAGGGTAACGTGGGTGGATAGACGGAGAGGGTGAAATCTGTATGCACTTGTGCAGCAGGTGCTGGCCACCGTGGGCTGTGGCCTCACCTGCCCTTCCTTGTCCTGTCCCACCTCATGTCCTTTATGTGGGTCCCAAAGGCAGGCCCTCGTGTCCCTGGCCGACCTGGTCACAGGTGCGCTGGCTGTCAGGAGGGTCAAACCAGGTGCACCTGGGACCCTGCTGCAACCTGGGTGGGACGGGGTGTGAATTTTGCATCATGTAGTTGTTCCTTTCGGGAAAACAGCTGTCCTTCTGAGCACACACTGTGCATTCATTTATTGGTTCATTTAAACAATGTCAGCTGTGCCCGCAGCCAGGCTGAGGACTGGGCCACCCCGAGGCTGGGTGGGGAGCAGCCAGGGCTCCCTGTCCGACTGCTTGGCCCCCGGCTCCCCCCGCAGAGCCTCACACGGCTCAGGCCGCAGGCCTGCCCTCAGGACAGAGAAAGGTTCGGAAGTGGCATCTGCAGGCCCTTCCAGTCTTGACCTTCTGAGGGCAGATTGGAGAAGGGACGTGGCCTGCATGCTTTCAGCTTCAACATAGCGAGCGGTAAGGCCCAGGACAGGTCCCACACTGTGTGCTCCCAACACTTCCTGACAAGCCCAGGAAGGGGAGGGGGCCCCTCTGGCCTCCATTCAAGGGGAGCAGAGCTACTGAGGGAACCACAGAGGCAGAATCATCCTTGTCAGTCAGAATGGTGCGGGTCCTGGCGAACTTCCGGCCAGGCTTGCTTCTCACAGCTGAGGGATGCAGGCCAGGGAGGGTGGAGACCGCCCAGAAGCAGGTGCTAGTACTGGGCTCAGGTTGTGCCTCCCAGCTGCCGTCTGCCTGCGCCTGCCACCGTGAGGCCTGCCCTGTGTCTCCCCCGCCCCTCTGGGGCCCCTCTCGGTCCCTTCCATGTCCAGGGAGCTCTGCTCCGAGGCGCTGCTTTGCCACCGACCAGGACGGCTAGCTAGGCAGCGGCTTTCCTGCCGGCGCCTGGTATTGACTGGCCGACAAAGCCTCGTCCCTGAGCCCGCAGAGGTGAGGCGGAAGCAGCGTGTGCGCAGGGCCCTGCACGCAGGAGCAGCCCAGCTCCCTCTGCGGGCTCTCCAGCTCCGTGATTCATGGGTTCCGTAGCCCTTTTGTTCCGGGCGGTTTGCTGGACTGGTTTGGCGCTGAGGCTGCCGAGCTGATGCGAGTCAAGTGAGCCTTGGCTTTAGATTTCCCTCTCGCCACATAGACTTGGTCTCTGTCCTGCCTTTGCTTTTGAGTCTCTGCAGCCACTATTTTTTTCTTGTCTGTGCACTTGGGCAGAAAACACACGTGCATGTCGAGCCCTGGGCAGGTACCATTAGTGAGGAAAACGAGGCTTCTTCTCTTGTTTAGACCGTGGGCCATGGCTGCGCCCCACGGCAGAGCAGCAGCCTCAGAAAGGCCTGTCTCTCTCATCCCTGCACACGCTTTGAAAGGAATGCCGAGGGTGAAAGGCCAGTGTTTGAGTGTGTGTGTGTGTGTGTGTGTGTGTGTGTGTGGTGCCTGCCGCCAGGGCCACACTGGAGCAGCTGTGTGATGCCACCAAAGTCCACTGTAGGCCAGGAGGCCTGGACCCACGGTGTCTGTACCCTGTAGTCCGAGGTCGGGGCATTTTTCTGGGTGAGGCACAGAGTGGAGGCGAGAAACTGTGGGCTCCAGGGCCAGACAGACCTGGATTTGAAACCTGGCTCTACCTTTTATTAGTTAGTGGGTAACCTTGATCCTTTAATTTTTTCATCTGGAAAATGGGGGTAAAGATGCCTGTGGGTGAGTTGTTACGAGGATGCAGTAAATGTGATGAATAGACAGACCCTGCTGTGTAGTAAGGAGTTTCTTTCTCTTCCCGCTTGGGTCTGAGGTTTTGATGGCACCAAAGTCGGTGATTCAGCCACTTTTTGAATCAAATCTTTACCCCAAAACCTGATTGAATAGCTTGATGCTTCCTCCCCTTACAACCTCTCTCTGGCCGCCAGATACCAGAAAGCCTTTGAATAAATGCAGACTGATGATCCGATTGTATATCAGTTACAGCCACAGCCCTGGCTTGAGCCTTGAGGTTCCGTACTCCGTTCTGGCTGGTGTCCTGCCAGGCCCGTCCTCTGCTCTCTGTTGGTGGCCCTGAGGCTCCAGGCCAAGGTTCTGTCTGCTCTCCTGTTAGCCCAACAAGAGGGCGGAGTGTCCTCTCCAACCCTGACCCGGGCCAGCCCTCATGGTGGCGATTCTGGGCAGGGGCCTTCCCCACCAACAGCAGCCACATGGGTGGGTCCAGTCACTGTCCTCCTCAGGGACCCCTGGCCACTTGAAAGTGAACGTGTGTGATAGAGGCATCCTGAGAAGCGAGGAGCCCTGCGCCTGAGCAGAGGAGGGAATGGTGCTGAGTCAAGGCAGCCACACCTACAGTGAGCTCACCACCACCGCCTTCCTCCTTCCTGCCCTGCCCAGCCTGGAAACGGGTGCTCTGTGCAGTGTCTGTCACCCTGTGGGACGGGGCAGAGGTCACAGCAGCTCTGGCTCCGGGCTCCCCGGAGAACAGGGCCCCAGGCTGTGGGCTTCCTGCTGTCTGACTGCTTCGAGGAGCAGGGCCTGCCCGACCTCGTGGCCTTAGGTGAGCTGCTTCACCGAGTCCTGTTTTCTCACCTGTCACAGCGGAGGGGCAGGGGGACCTTGTGGAAAGGACTCCAGTGATGCACACACGTCACAGCCTAGACCTGGCCCACCCCAGGAGATCCTGTGTCGAGTAGTTCCCCCTGTCCCCTCCCTTACGGTAGTCGGAAAGATGCCGTGGCCAGATGTGCCGAGGTGAGTGTCCTGGCCGGCGTGTCCCGCAGCCCTGCGTCCACACGGGACCCGTGTGCCTGGTGGGGAAGTGAGGTCAGGAGGACAGGACACGGGAAAGAGGGGCCTCGGCTCTCGCGCCTGTGTTCAAGCATTAAGGTCACGTACATGCAGGCTCGCAGCAGCCTCAGGCCTGGCTGGGGCCTCAGGAGGCCTGAGCTCCCTGCGACCATGCAGACATCCTGGGCCTCCCCTCCGGGAGCCCTGCCTGGAGGCCGGAGCAGCTGACGTGTGCCCAGACACGGCAGTTCCGACGGAGACTTCCAGCCCGCGTCCCGCAGGCGCCCCGGGCGTCCCCTCCACAGGCTGTCACACCCGCAGGCACTCCAGTCCCCGACATGGTTGCATGCGGGCGGCACTAGCGTGTGCGCACACGAGTGAGGCCAGCACAGGGTCCCTGCAGGCCCAGCCCGGCTATAAATCCCCTGCCTGGGCAATGGAGCTCTTCATCCCTGAGGAGATTCATGAGCAGTGAGTGCTGCCCGGCCGCCTGGTGTTTGTCGTCATCCCAGAGACATCCACTGCACCCTGACGCCCTGCTCGCAGCGCTTCACATATCATCTCAGAGCGCGGCATCTGCACGCGCAGGGACCGGCCCTCCCCCTCCCTGCCCGCCCTGCTCCCTGGACGCGAGCTCGCTCCCTCTCCTTTCCCGTCACCACACAGATGGCATGCAGTGGAGAAAATGAATGTTTCTGCAGAAGTAGATTAATAAACATCATCTGAGGAGTGAGTTAATGAAGACAATGTGGTGTGAGAAAACGCCGAGAGCTAGGCTGTCAATTAGCGGGACGGTTCCTGGCAGTAAATGGACAGGCCTGGAGGAAAGCGAGCCAGTGCCACCTGCTGGAGCCGTGCGGTGGTGCAGCTGTGAGTCTGAGCCGGCTTCCTTCGTGACGGACCGGACCGCAGCACCAGGCAGAGGCGCCTCCGTCAGCTCCCCCCTTAGACCCAGCAGCCAGGAGACCAGGGTCGGAGGCTCGTGCAGGCCTACAGGTTGCTCAGTGTGTCCTGAAGGTTGACAAGGCTCAGTGAAAACCGCTCCCCTGCCAGGGGGGAGGCCTGACCTGTCACCTTGTCCACGTCTCTTGCCCTCTCTGCACCTCGGTTCCTTAAACAGAAAGAAGGAGCAGCCCTGCTTCGTAGGCCCTGAGCGGGGGACGTGGATGTGACAGGCTGAGCTGGTGCCTAAATGGGAGCACAGCCCCTCCTGCACCTCACCCTCCGCCAGGTGGGGGCGTTTCCAACCACCCAGGCGCCCAGTGTGAGAAGTAGAGGCGCCCTTCTCTCCTCTGAGTCCAGGAGCAGCCCGCCAGGCTGGAAGGCCCTGCAGAATTCAGAGCAGAACTACAGCAGTCCCCTCACAGGCCCCGACCCGGCCCCCTGGGTGCACCAGGCCGTGGGACCGTGCTGGGAAGGGGACAGGTGTGCTTGCAAGACCAGCAGGGAGCAGGTCGTCCACACACCTGTCCACACCTCTGCCAGCCAGAGGCTTAGAGCTCGGAGGACCCATTGCCATTCAGCTGGGACCGAGCTCTGACCACAGGGCGCATCCGCGGTGCCAGCTCTCACGGTGGGCACAGGAGGCTGCAGGGCTTCGGGCTGTGAGCTGTGGCAGTGCCCTGTCAGTCAGCAGAGGGGTTGAAAGAGCCACCATGTTTGATAGCTTCCTAAGTGGAGTATATTTTTTGTTTTTTAAAACTAGAAGAGATCTACAGGACTTTAGTTCAATCCCTTTCTTATAAGCAGGAAAAAGGGGTAGAACAGGGACCAGCCTCGCTGGAGCCACATGGCCAGCGAGTCCGTGTTGTCTGTGACGTTCGCAGGCTCAGGGCTGAGTGGACAGCGTGGCTGCTGTGAGTGATTGAACGTCTCTGGCGGATCTCTAGGCCGACGGCCTCGCACGACAGGCCACTCGGGCAGGAACGGCACGGGGAAGAGGCTCTGGGACTGCAGTCTGCTCAGTGGCTGTGGCACCTAATCCTCGGGGGGGAGGACACGGCCCCCTCCGGCCACCATGGCCAGTGCAGGGCGGTCCTGCTCCCGGGTCCCGGCCCAAGACCCTCTCCACACCTGCCCCTCAGGCAGGCTCCGGGGCCCTGGGCCCCCTCCGTTGCTCTTGGCCTTGGTTTCCTGCCCCCACAGCTCTCAGCCCCCGATCTGTGGTCCTGGGACAGGTCTCCCGTGTGCACCCACCTGCTGCTGGTGTCAAGGCAGAGGAAGCGTCGGGGCTGCCCTGCGGAGAAATGAAGGCAGGTCCTGCCGACAAACGGCAGCGAAGGTGGGGGCTCAGCCGGGAGGCGGGCAGGGAGCCGCTGCCCAAGGCTGGGGCTGCTCAGAACAGATGCCTCCAGCTCAGGGGAAAGAGTCCTGACGAAAAAGTCTTTGTTCTAAATTATTGTTTCAGATTGGCTGGCTGTGTGTGCTTATTTGTTGTTTTTAACCGGCAGCTGAGCATTTTGGGGGTTTTGTTTACATTGAGGAGGACATCTCTAGGGCTGGTGCCTACCACTGAAGAGGCACTGAATGTGGCTGGGTTCGTGTTGGGCCCTTTGAGATGCTTCTGGAGCTTCAGTAAAAAGACACCATGGCCCCAGCCCTTCTCTGCCCTCCGCCAGGCCTGTCCTCCTCACTCCCCCATCGGCTAAGACTCCCACCTCCTTTTGGGTCTGGACGCTTTGCAGTCTCTCTCTCCAGTCCTGACTCTGCCTGTGGCTGCATGTCTCTTTTCGGCAGAAGCAGCAAGCGGCCCAGAGGGTAGATGACTTGCCCCAGGGAGGGCCTGGTGGGTCGGGCATGTGGTTCCGATATTTCAGAGTAAGTCGTGTGCGTCAGCTGGAGGGAGTGCCCTGTCTTCCCTGCACAGCTTGGACTCCTGTACCCAGAGAGCAGCTCAGAGCTGGAGGGGGTATGGTGGGGGGTGGGTGCTATAGGGCTGTGGTCTCTTCCTCCACCTTTTTAGTTCAGAGCCTTGGGGTTCATGGAGCAACCCCGTCTGTCGCCGTGAGGACCTACGGCCACAGCCATTGTCCAGGGACACGGATGTCTGTGGCTTATTAACCAGACTCGGGTCCGTGAGTCCAGGCAGACACATGTCTGGGGCATGAAATGAAAGGTGCACAAGGGAGGGCGCCGGGCGGCCCTGCTGCTGCCCCGTTGGGCTGTCCCGATGGCAGCGCGGGCTCTAGGCTGAGGTCCGTCCGCCAGGAATGTGCGCGTACAGTGCGTGTCCCCAGCCTCCCTCCGAGCCGCCTGCTGCGGCCCCCAGGGCGATCGGCGCTTCCCGCTCTGATGGCAGAGACAGGCCGCGGTCGCTTATGATTACGTTTCCTCCGTGAGGGAGCAGCTCTCGCCCCCAAGTCCTTGGCTCTTCCTTCCCTGGCAGCGAGCAGGGGGGCTGAGCGAGGGGGTCCCAGCCTGGCTGTTCATAACCCTAGAATCGAGGTCCGGGGGACACTGAGAACATGGAGCAGGTGGGGCAAGACGGGGTGGAGGCCAAAGGTGGAAAACAGACTCTTCAACCTTCTCCTGTGACACCGTGACCCCCGGCCCAGCCCAGGAGGGAAACGCCTTCTGGTTTCCTCTCAGGTGACAACGCGGGGTTGTCAGCCCAGGGACTTCCCAGAGCTCAGCAGTGCCTGTGAGAGCTGGTGTCCACCCTCTGGGGTCCCCGAGGACTCACCAGAAACCCCCACACCGTGCCGGCTAAGAGACCACAGGCTGCCTCCCTGCAGAAACTCACCAGGGCCTGTCCGGAGGCCACGCCAGCCAGGCTGTGGGGCAGCCCGGGCCTTGCCCTGGAAAAGGGTTTGTTTTTCCTGCTGCTGCCTCCTCCGCTCCCCTCGGGGTTGGCCTCTGCGGGGCCTGGCAGGCAGCTGGCGCTCAGGAAGCAGTTTCTAAGGGAACGGACGGATGTGCTCTTCTGTGTGGGGCTGAGACCTGGGGCCCCTGGGATTGAAAACGCCCGTATCCGCCAACAGCGGAACATGGAAAACGGCAAACAAAGCCCTGCAGCCAGTGCCCGCTGCTCCGGGGTATTCCCGGGGCCCCCCTGCTGTGGGCGGGGCCTCGGCCCGTGCCTGCCGGGCTCACGGGGCTGCCCAGGGCCGAGGTTGGGGCCCCCTTGCTCCTGGTCCTGCCCGAGCCTCCTGCCCGCAGGTTGGGTGGCCCTGGGACACTGTCCTCCCGCAGCGTGGTGGCTGCTGCTGATTCTCATGGCCCTCACGTTGGCCTGCACACAGTCCCGCCACGCGAGGATGTGATTACCCCTTTGACCAGCACTTCGGGACACTCGATCAGGAAAACGCCACGGAAATGAGTTGCTGCGTGCAGCTGGCTCACCCTCCTGTTTCTGTCGGTGCTGCTGTTCTGTGACAATCACCTGAAAGGGAGGGAGGGGCCCTGCCGGAGGGAGCTGGCGGGTGTTCGCTCTGGCTGTGGGCAGCGTCCACGTGCCTTCCCAGGAGCTGGCGCACCGCGGGGGGAGTGGCGAGGCCCTGCCTGACCCTGGCCCCTCTCTCCAGGAGCTGCCAGAGCATGACGAGCTTGGCCAGCAACACGATGTCGCCCGCCAAGGACGGGACCTCCTCTCTCCCCCGGAGGCAGAGCTTCGCCAGGCCCCCGCTCCGCGCTCTGTACGACCTGCTCGTGGCGCCCATGGAAGGGGTAAGTGCCCCGGGGCCGCGAGGGCGCCTCATTCCCGCTCAGTGCCCACGTGGGTTTCCCAGGACGCCAGCCTCCTCTGCCCCGCTTCTCCGCGACCCAGGCTCAGACCCTGGCTCTGCTCCTCACCAGCCTGGTAAACTCAGCCCGTCTCTCAGGCACAGGATGAATGTGCTCCCTCCCCGCCTTCCGCAGACACAGGAGGCGCAGGGACACCCCAGCAGTTGCCCGCAGGACCCACTGGAGCTGCCGCCATGGGGGACAGGCCGTGGCTCCCCGCACCCTGCTGGGGTGCGTCCTCATGGCCCCACCTCTCATGTGAGGGTCTTGCCTGAGCAACTCAAGCCAGGTCTGTGCGTTCTGGTGAGAACAGATCCCTCGACCTCGCCAACATCAGGAGTCACTGACTCCATCAGAGTCCAGCGTCCAGGGCACCCGGGCCTGGCATTTCCCCAGAGGGCTGGGAGCGGCTGTGGCCAGATTTCTGTGGCCCTGGTCTTTGCACATCATTTTTCTTTATTTCAGAGAGGAAGGAAGAGGGAGAAGAGAAACATCAATGATGAGAGAGCGTCACTGAGTGCGCTCTGTACGCCCCCTCTGGGGATTGAGCCCGCAGCCGGGGCGTGTGCCCTGACCGGGAATCAAACCATGATCTCCCGGTTCGTAGGTCGAGCTCAGCCAGTGACGTAAAGAACAACCGATGCCAGTGAGACTAGTGGCAGCTCCTGTTAGCCAGCGTGCTGCTGAGAGGCGCTAGGGAAGGGGGCGACGTGACGAGCTATGGGATAATCCTGAAGCGAGGCCTCGAGGTGGAGAGCGGACCTTCAGTTTCTGACATTTACAGCCGTTTCTCGGGATGACTGTTTGACGCGGAAGGAGCTTGTCTGCTTCCAGGGGTGCCAGGTGGCGCCTTTCAGAGGCCGCTGTGTCAGTACCAGAGCGAGGCTTTGTAGCGGCTCCTCGAGTACTCCGCTAGCTGTTTCACTGAAAGCAGCTGGAAGGCTGGGCTCCGATCAGGAGTCCTCTCCACCCCCACTTGCACCCAGTTGTTTGTTTATTTACACGCCCCGTGTCTGAGGTTCAGGCTGGCCCGGCGGGGGGGGGGGGGGGGGGGGCAGAGTCAGAGGCCTCAGGGCCACAGGGAGCCGGGGAGGCCTCTTAGCTCCTCCCCAGCGCTGCCCCGGGAGAGGAGGCCTGGATGGCGGGCTCCCACAGCAGGCACACCCGCTGCTCGGAGCCACTAGAGGGCGACGCGACACCGTCAGCCACTCCTGCCGGCACTGGCCGCTGCCAGACAGCCAGCTCCTCCTCCACATTTTCGCGGCAAGCCCACGATGAGGAATCACGGACACTTCCAGACTAAAACGATTAGCCTCTTCACGTGGGGCTTGTAATTGTTTGAACAACTGCCTTCGTTTAGCCGTGGTCCGTTGCTGAGGGACTAGGTCAGCCAGTAGGAAGGTGGGACGCAATATTGCACCCTGGGCTGCACCCTGTTTGACTTGATCTGCCTTAAGGGAAGTGCCACACTGCGCCTCCTGTCGGGAGGGAGTGAGCACGCTGTCTCTCTGAGGATGGCCCAGTTCCATGTGATGGCCCACGAGCCGTCACCAGTCATCAAGTCGGATCCTGTCTGACACCCAAGGGAGAAAAGGCACCAGAGAAGAGTTGCAGGTGTTTAGTGTGAAAGGGACGGGGACCCTGGTCATGTGCGTGGCATTTGTTTTAATCAACTTAGAGGGAAGGATGGTGACCCAGGCCCCTGAACCTGGACGTCCCTGCTTCTGTGGAAGGTGGGCCCCCGGGCGGCTCTTGTCCTGGCCCACGTGCTGACAGCAGTGTCTGGGGGTCACGTCAGATGTGAGGGTCTCCACTAGGAGAAGCTGCTCATTCACTCCGGTCCCAAGTCACCCCTCAGTTTGCAGATGGCGCTTCATCCAAAAGCCAGAAGCTGCATTAGTCAAGGAACCAGACTTAGAACAGGAACTCCCTCAGGGTTTGGTCAGACCACCCCTTAAAGGTCCATTTGGGGAGTCAGGACTTCTTCTCGTCTTTGCCGTCCTTATCATTATGTCCATTTATTTCAGTTCCCTGTTTCCTGTCGGTACGTCCTTAAAAACCAAGGCTCTAGGACAGGTAGCCCGTGTGCAGGACGAGAGGGGCTGCCTGTAGAAGTGGAGTTACCTGTTTCAGGACCCCAGAAACTTGATTAAAACTGGCTGTTGGAAAACAAACAAACAACAAAAAAAAACTTGCTGTTTGTGCTGGCTCCATTGGTAAACGCCTTCCTAAACACGGGAGCTTGGGAATTCACCCAGACCTCTCAGCTAAGATGCGCCTGGTCCCCAGCCAGCTCTCCAGGCAGTGGACTCGCGCTGTGACAGGCAGGGTCCCAGCCTGCTGGTGAAGAAGGGTGCTTCCTGGGGGAACAGGCAGCTTGTAGGACACCTGGCCTTCTTGTCTGGTTCTACTTCAAAAGGTCCATCTGTGGAGATTTCAGAGGTCAGAGCGGCTGAGTCTTTGCTGGAATTTGTGGGACTGTTAGTTGCAGGTGCAGGGCTGACGCTGAACCCTTTTATCTTTCAAACCCAGGACTTCAGAAGCCAGCAAATACCCCTTCTAGACTGACATATGGAGGTGCAGAGTAGCATTTCCTTGAATCGTCCCTCCGTTTTCATCTAACAGGTGACATGAATTTGGATAGAGACGTCGCTTTATTTCCTTTCTTCAAGTTCACATTGGATTATAGCTAATCTTTCTGTACAAGGGCAACGCTCACACATGCTGGAGGCAGAATTCGGAGACGGTTTCCAGGGCCTCCTTCCCAACGCATCCAATCAGTTTCCCACGGCCTTTTAACGGAGCTGTCATTCTGCCGTGCGACCCGTCTGCCCACAGGCCACTGCCGTCACCCGCCTGCTGCCCGCTGCCCGGACAGGGCCCCACCCCGGCCCTCGCCCAGGGCTGTAGGCATGTGCCAGCTCAGTAGCAGCTACGGGGCACTGTCCCAGGGGGGCCTGGGTCTACAGTTGGGATACGCAGTTCAGAGAAAAGTCTCCCCATCTCCCAGGCTGGCATTTCAGGACCTTTTCCTCTCAGTTCACCAAGTCCTGGCACGTCTCCATCTCTTTATTCACCTCGGCCCCAGCCCAGTGTCCCAGTTGTTTCTTCTTAGTTCATCAAGGTTCATGCAGCCTTGGTCTCCGTCCGCAGTTCTTTTGGAAAGAAGTACACCTGTAGAGAAAGGAAGCACCACGTGGTGATGCTGCTGTGAGCAGTGCCCAACCCAGCGCCCATGCGACCGTGTGGCCCTTCATGTGCCTGGTCCTCCGGGCCCACGTCAGCCCCGGCTCAGGGCTGGCCGGCGTGTGGGAGCCGGGCCCCGCCAGGCCCCGTGTCAGCCTCCGTGCTTGCTCTGCAGGGCCTGATGCACTCCAGCGGCCCCGTGGGCCGGCACCGGCAGCTGGTCCTGGTTCTGGAGGGGGAGCTCTACCTCATCCCTTTCGCCCTCCTGAAAGGAAGCTCCTCCAACGAGTACCTGTATGAGCGCTTCACCCTCATCGCCGTCCCGTCCATCCGCGCCCTCGGCCCGCAGGCCAAGGTAAGGCTCTGGCAGGCCCGTGGGGGGCACGCTCTCAGGTCTGCGAGGCGTCTTTGGCCAGACTGGGGTCTGAAGTGATAGGTTGTGATCTCTTCAAACTGCCGATTGTATAGCTTGCAGGTGGGTCGGGTGACTTCAGATCTGTCCAAAGGCAGGGGCACAGCCCTCCTGACCCCTGACAGTTCTTTGCTACTTCAGGAAGCCATGATATGGGTCGTTTCTCTTTCAATTTCTCTGCTGTGACATTAGGGTTGCAAGCTACTCAGAGGCACTAAGCCAGGCTGGAGGCCACAGGCCGAGGACCCGAGTGCCTTGCTCATCCCACCCTTCAGCTGCCCAGCAGAGGGCCACAGGCAGCAAAGGTGGACGAGTGCAAGTGGAAAAGAGCACCATCGGCCAACAAAAGGCCTGGAAACAAAGGCAGCTTCCAGGGGACAGGAAGGGGCTTGGGTTTCATTCAGCAAAAAAGTCAGCGTGGGAAGAAACCCTTGTGAAAATCGGGAGTAACAGTGGGCCGTCCAGTCAGAGGCCTCACCCGACAGCCACCTGGCCCTGCCCACCTGATTAGGGAGCCTTTTCAGCCAACCCTGAATCTCTCCCTTTTCCAAACTGAGAGACCCTGAAACCCGGGCTTCCTTCTGGCCCTTCACGGCCCGATGCTCCCCACTCGCCTGTCATTACCACCAGGACCTGAATGAATTGCTCAGCTTCAAACTTAAATGCCCTCCAGCTGCCAGCTGCTCTCAGAGCCCCTGAGACCACCAGGCAGGTCTTGGTCAGATGGGCCGCCTGTGGGGGGAGAGTGTCTGCAGGTTGAAACACCCAGACCCCAGGCCCAGGGTGCAAGCGGCCCCCAGGGGACCTGCCTGACCAGGCTCTGTTGGCCTTGGTCATTGGTATAAACCACGACATTTTTGCCTCACGGGGTTTTGGAGGTCTTAGTTGGCTATTTTTGTTGCTGAATCATACCTTACTCATGGGACAGAATCAGTTCTGAGTGAAGGAAATGATTTTCTCTGAGTTTTTCTTCTGCCCTTGGTTGACAATCCCAGATGGGAAGTGAGCTGGCCTGGTCGGATGCTGCTCCACAGGCAGGCTCCCTGCACCTGCTGCCAGGAGCACCGGGACCAGAGGTGGCCTCTGCAGAGAGAGCTTCCTACCGGTGACAACAGTGAGCTGGCTGTTTGCCAACGTCATGAGGGGATGGAAGAGTCCTGTCTCCTGACTGGCACCCAATAGGCATTTCTCTACCCAAAGTTTAAGGCATCCCCAAGTGTAGACACCAAAACAGTTATTTTGAAATAATGTGATGTTTTCCAGAAAGCACCGAAAGACATCATGGCAGGAAAATCAGAACTTCGTTGGACTTCTTCTTGCTGATTTTATAATTCAGTGCTGTCTTTATTTTGCAACACACTGTGGAAGGGAACTATAATCTTTTCAGTATGCCGTGTCTCTGAAGGACTTAATTTGGCCCTGTCTCCCCTGAGTTTGACTTGCTTTGTAAACAAAGCCACCCTACGCCCTGACTCATCAGGAGTGGGTTTCCCCAAGGGGTGCACAGGGAGGGCCTGTAGGGGTGAGGCTCAGGGCAGGCAGGCACCACAGCCCCTCGCCTCCAACCTGTTCTGTCCTGTAAACACCTCCCACCCCTCCTGGGGTTTGACAAACGGAAGCAGCTTTCTTACCACCCGGTCCTGATTATTCCCAAGAGCTTGTCACAGCAGGTGTGATTTTCAGTAAGACATCACCTTGTCAGTAGGTGTTGAAGATCAGAGCGAAGGAGGTTATTGGGAGAACAGGTGGAGCCAAGGTGGACCCAGCCCTGACAGGAGAGCTGGCCTTCCCTGGGCTCCTGAGAAGCCCGGCCAGTCTGACAGTGCTTTGCTTGTGCTTCCTCCCTCCCAGTCTCACCTGAGGAAAACCCCGCCCACCTACTCCAGCTCCACCTCCATGGCCGCTGTCATTGGCAACCCGAAGCTCCCGTCAGCGGTGATGGACAGGTGGCTGTGGGGGCCGATGCCATCAGCCGAAGAGGAAGCCTACATGGTGTCGGAGCTGCTGGGCTGCCAGCCCCTGGTGGGCAGTGTGGCCACCAAAGAGCGCGTCATGAGTGCCCTGACCCAGGCTGAGTGTGTCCACTTTGCCACCCACATTTCTTGGAAACTCTCGGCCTTGGTCCTCACACCCAGTGTGGATGGCAACCCTGCCAGCAGCAAGAGCTCCTTCGGCCACCCCTACACAATCCCTGAGTCCCTGCGGGTGCAGGACGACACCAGTGATGGGGAGAGCATTTCGGATTGCCCACCCCTACAGGAGCTGCTGCTCACAGCCGCCGACATCCTGGACCTGCGCCTTCCGGTGAAGCTGGTGGTCCTCGGCTCCTCGCAGGAGTCCAATAGCAAAGTCACAGCCGATGGGGTCATCGCGCTGACACGGGCCTTCCTGGCTGCGGGTGCACAGTGTGTCCTCGTGTCTCTGTGGCCTGTGCCCGTGGCTGCTTCCAAGATGTTTCTCCACGCCTTCTACTCGTCCCTGCTGAACAGCCTGAAAGCCAGCGCTGCCCTGGGAGAGGCCATGAAGGTGGTGCAGAGCAGCAAGGCCTTCTCGCACCCCTCCAACTGGGCAGGTGAGCGCAGGGCCCCAGCTGGCACCTCTGTCCGGGGCCTCCCCCAGGTCAGTCCTCACAGCCTGGGAGAGTTGGGGAGGGCAGGGCGGGGCACTGGGAAAGGCAGATGGGAAGATTCTGGGGGAGCCTCCTTTGCTGAGATTTGCCCTCTGCCAAGTCAGTCTTTTGCTACCATGGCATTAAAATAGTCCTTTGACCAGGGAGCAGAAGTTTGCCATCAGAGTGTGCATGTAAAACTCCTGGGGTGTTTACCGAATGGCCCACTTTATGGCACCCTTGTGTAGAATCCCACGACTGTAGAAGAGTGGTGCGGTAAAAAGACCCTGGATTTGGTGTTCGGAAGACTTGGGTTTGATTTAGCTCTGCAGCCAGGCTGTGTGACCTGAGACCGGTTACTAACCCTCTCTGAAGCTCCATGGTAACATGAAGATGATGGTGATGCTAAGAACTCCCTGCCCACGTTTGAGATGATCTGTGAGGAGTGGGCTGAATGTCTTATGATGCGTGAAGCACTGCACGTTCTGAGGGGGCCTGCCGCAAGGGGTGAAGGGAGAATGTTCCCTATGACAGCTGGTCACAGGAGGGGGGACGAGGGACTCTGCCTCTCATCTCCATATGATGATCTTCATCCTTCAGGGTCCCTGTGAACGCCCCATACCCTCCCTGATAGGCTGCGATCCAAACCCAACTTCGGCCATTCTCCCACCAGCCTTTCACCCAGCTGCGCTGGTTTTGCTGACACAATTCATGACCTTCAGTCTGTGGTGCTCTCTCAGAATTGGCCCCTACACCAGTGGGGACAGTACTGACCCATAAAGCAGTGTCTTAAACCTTGAGAAGCAGAGGAACATCAAACATACTATTTCCAAACATTTATATTTTGTTTCAATGGCCAAAAATGTACCATCTATGGATATATTTAAAAGTTGGGAACAAAATGGCCTTCAACTTACTTTTCCTCCAGAATCAATCCAGTTGACATGTGCCAATGTTTTTGGTGTCATTTTCTGAAGTTGGATAAGCCCTGAAGTGGGGCCATGGTGTTCCCACGCCCAGCCGGCCAGCAAACGAGCCTGCAGGGGCCCCGGGTGCAGAGCTGTGCTGTGGTGCCAGGCGGATGAGCTATGTTGATATACAGAAACATCTGTTTACATCACTAGCACACACAGCTGTAGTGCTGTTGTTTTTTAAGGTATCAAAAAAACGATGTAGAGTCTATCCTATTCTTGTGGCCGGAGAGAAACATTTAGTTGGTCCAACAGGCCTCACCTCATGGCGGCCCTCACCTCATGGATGGGCAGGCAGCCTCTGGGGTGGGGCCTGGCTACACTGCTGAGCTACTTCTGCCGCCAGATGCAGGGATCAGAGGCAATGCTGGTGGTTCTCACGCAGTCACGGAGATCTCAGCACTCAGTCAGCAACCAGAAGGGCCTTTGGCCGGCACAGCCCCACAGCACATACCGCAGGGTTCATGGGAACCCGGTCCCCGTGCTTAGCCAGTTATTCCTGACACGTCCCCTGTCCCTCCGTGCAGGCCCCTCCCTGGCTTCCCAGTGTACTTAGGGACATGGCATTTTTGTTTAGTTTTCGTGACAGATAATTTAAAGTCACAACTGTGTTCTGGGGAAAACGATGTTTAATGATGCTGTCCCATTACCCTGAAAACTGGCTTTGGCTCATTCATTCTTTGTTTTTTTCACTCATTCTTTTAGAAAACCCTTTCCCTCCATTTGGGGGCAGGTTGGCCTCACGTTGCTTGGTGGCTTAGAGACTGCTCCGTCTGTGCCTCCTCCAGCCCTCCTCACAGAGCTGCTGAGGGAAGAGGCTGGGATCTAGGTGGATGTGTGGCCCTTCCCAGCCTGGCTCAGCTGCTCATTCTTACAGCTGGAGGAATACCTCTTTTTTAAAAATATATTTTATTGATTTGTTACAGAGAGGAAGGGAGAGGGATAGAGAGTTAGAAACATCGATGAGAGAGAAACATCGATCAGCTGCCTCCTGCACACCTCCCACTGGGGATGTGCTCGCAACCTTGACTGGAATCGAACCTGGGATCTTTCAGTCCGCAGGCCGATGCTCTATCCACTGAGCCAAACCAGTCAGGGCATGGAGGAGTACCTCTTGCCCTCTCGTCCAGGGCCCCAAGAACTCGGGCACACCTGCCCCCCGTCCCTGGGCATGTACCAGACAGACACAGTTGTACCTGCAGGAAAACAAAGCACATCATTCCTTGAGATGGTGGCCAAGCCAGGGATGGTGGCCCGGGACATCTGTTCCCTCCTTTGCTCGCAGCGCAGTGGAAAAGTAGAGGCGGTTCCCTGAGCACCGATCACTGCAAGCAGCACTGCACACCTACGGAGCGGTATTGATTCTAAAAAGGGAGGGGACTGAAGGGTGACAGGCTGCCCCCGTGAGTGGAATGCTCCACGGTCCAGCCCATAGAGCAGCTGTCCTGGCAGCCCCTTTCCGCTGGGTAACTGCGGGATGGGTGAGCTGTAGAGCCAACCCAGCTGAGGTGACAACAGGCCCTGAGGTTCCCTCTGTGCTCTCTCCCCACAGGGTTCCTGCTCATCGGGAGTGACGTGAAGCTGAACAGCCCCTCCTCGCTCGTGGGCCAGGCCCTCACGGAGGTCCTGCAGCACCCGGAGCGTGCGCGGGACGCCCTGCGAGTGCTGCTGCACCTGGTAAGGGACTGGGGAGCCCTCACCCAGGCTCCTATGGAGCAGAGGCTGCCAGAAATGCACAGGGGAGGCTGAATGGTTTCCATAGCACCAGGACATACGAGTAGGTGGAGGGGACATTGTCCCCATATGCCTGTGGGTCAAGCCAGTTGGTCCAGGTGGGGGGCATAAAGTGTGATGTCACACAGATGGCTACAGTAGTCCTCGCCAAGACCCTGGGGGAGGGACAGCCGAGCAGTGACCTGGCGCAGGAGCCTGCACCACAACCACTTCTGGGCCATGTGGCTTTGGGCAAGTCATCTTAGCATCCTGAGCCTCAATTTCCTCATCTGGAAGCAGGGATCAAACTTTAACTTTTCAAGGTTATTGCGAGGATTGGAGGAAAGGTGAGTAGCTGGCACACAATGGCGTTCCAGTAGCTGAGACGGTATATTATAGTCAGCGGGCACTGGCTTTCCCCTAAAGTTAGTTGGAAGAATCATCTAAGCCTGACGACCTTGGCCAGCCCTGATCTTTGCAGGACGTGGGTGAGAGTACAAACGGCGGGCCCATGACATTTTGTAACATTTAAGCTACACATAATGCCAAGAACTAGCGATAGAAACCTTGCTTCACCCTTCTACCTTGACAACCTGGAAAGTGGTTTCAAATAATTTAGAATTCTTAACCTCCTTGGAGTTCTGTGCCAGAAAGACCAGCCCAGTCCTAGCCAGGAGCCCACACCACATCCAAGCTCTTTCCAAACTTGATGCAAACAGCTGCCCATGGCCACCTCACAGGATAGGGGTGTGTGCGAGGGCAGACCCAGAGAAGGGTCCAAAGGGGCCCTGGGAGTGGGAAGTTTAGTCTGGGGACGGGGTTCTAGGTGAGCATGTGGAACCTGGAAACTTCTGATAGTTCTCAGGCCAGACTTAATGTAGCCCACATGCCTGCTACAGAGATGTGCCCACATGTTTTGAGGATTTGGGGAGACTTTCCACTAATTTTTTGTCTGTGCCTGGAAATTGCATAGAGCCCTTAAGGTGCTCAGCGCTGGGCCCTTCTCAGGTCCTTGTCAGCCCGTCACCCTCTTTCTTACAGCAGCCCCCAGACTGCTTTTCGTAGATAACGAAACTGCCCTGTTTGGTTTGCTTCTCCGAGACAACGCTGCGGAGTCAGAGCCAGGCCTCTCAGCGGCTCCCCATTTGGCCTTGAGGCTCCTCGGGCACATTTAAGGGTTTTCATTATCGGCTTCATCTGGTTTGACTGCAGAGGCCATGGGTCAAGCTCACCAGCCCTTACACCCTCCTGGTCACTCTCGGTGCCCCTGGCCCCGTGTGCAGTGTCTTCAAGGCCCTTCCAGCCTGACGGACAGCCAGCTGGCTAGTGTCCATCTGACCCAGGACACTCATTTCTTGCTGCCTGTGATGTCGGCCCACAGCAACAAGATTTTACTATAAGAAAAGTGTCAGATGACATCTTGGAATGACTCTTCTGTCCCTCCAGTGCTGGCATACGTGCCCCAGGGCATGCAGCATCTCGGGATGGACTGAAGTTCTCTATAGAGAGAACTGCCAGGGCAAGGTCTGAGGCTGTGGGGAGTGCTAGGAGTGCTCATGGGGAGAGAGAACATTGTAGTTACTTGATGTGTTTAGCCCACATGTCCCAGGCACTGGGTTAGGCCCTGGAAGTGGGGAGGGCCACTTGGAGGAGGTACAGGTCCCAGAGGCAAGTACTGTGGGGTGAAGAATGCGTTGGAGAGGTTTTGCCAGCCAGGGCCCTGGGATGGGCACTGTTTGGTGTATGGGGCACTGAATGGGGGGTCTTGAAGGTGTGAGGTTTATTCTAATGAGGGGTAGCCTGGTATGGCTTGGGCAGGCTCCTGACCTCAGACTGGCTTTCAGACACATCACTTTAGTGTCTGTGGAGGAGAGCCTGGGGCAGGAGGAGGTGGGTTAGGGGAGGGGCAGAATTCTTCCATGTTGCACCAGTCCTTGCTTGCTCTGATTATAACATCCCTCCCCTTCTGCAGCCTCCCTTTCAAGAAGCCGGGCCGTTTGCTGCAATGTCATGGTCCTCAGGCCCGGGTGCCCTGCACTGGCTTCATAGATAACAAAGCCACTCCGAGAAACCAAGGCTGGCCCCTGAGTACAGCAGCTCCTCACTCTCCTTTCTTCCCCTTCCAGGTGGAGAAGTCCCTGCAGCGCATTCAGAACGGGCAGCGCAATGCCATGTACACATCCCAGCAGAGTGTAGAGAACAAAGTGGGTGGCATCCCCGGCTGGCAGGCCCTCCTCACCGCCGTGGGCTTCCGGCTGGACCCCCCAGCCAGTGGCCTGCCAGCAGCCGTCTTCTTCCCAACCTCCGACCCAGGCGACCGGCTGCAGCAATGCAGCAGCACCATCCAGTCCCTGCTGGGTGAGCTCGGGCAGGGCGGGGCAGGAGGGGTCGGTGGCCGTGGCCTCTGCACTCACCAGGATGCTGGGTCTCATCGCTGGGAAGGAGAGTGTCTTGAGAAATGGCCGAGTCCCAGACACAGACTTCTGATTTAGAGGAAACGAGTGCTCTTGACCTGATCGTTTGAATGCAATGGCAAGGCATTCTCTGCCATAGGGTACTGCCCTGGCTCTCCCTCTTCCTGAGGTAATGGTGGGTGGATAGCAGCCCCTGTTAATATTTAATCAGCAGCTTTGGATCTGAGAGCCATGCAGCCTCCCCAGGTGAAGTGGGGTGCAGAAGCTCAGGGCTGCCCTTGGTGCATCACTCAGTGGGTGATGCTGCCGGAGTAGCTGAGACAGGGTTCTGGAAATGTGACCCTGCACCTGGAGGACTGCAGTAGGGTCAGGCCTGGTGCTTGCCCCCAGCCTGCCTTTCTCGGAGCCCGTTCTCTGCTGTCAGACATGGACGTGCAGGGCCGGCTGTCCTGAAGGCCACCAAAGCTGAGCTCTTTCCTCTGGGAAGGCAGCAGGACTGTGGGCTCAGAGGTCCCTCTGGATAACACCCATCTCCCTCCTCTTGGTGTAGGTCTTCCCAACCCTGCCCTCCAAGCCCTCTGCAAGCTCATCACTGCCTCGGAGACGGGCGAGCAGCTCATCAGCCGGGTGAGTCGAGCTAGGACGGCTGAGCCCAGGTTTGAGGGCGCCATGCCGAGTTAGAAAGAGGGTGACTTGGCCCTGAATCGGGATTTGCAAGTAAAGTCGTCCACTTGTTTTTTTCAGCCTTTGTGATTAGAAGGAAGAGGCAAAAGCTGGAGTAAGCATGTGCTAGACACAGGGGCGCTGAATCCCAAGAGCTTAAGGGCCTTCAGAGGACACTCAAGGGGCTGCTGTCACCTGTAATCACAGGGCATTTTCTGAACTCTCCATTCAGTGGCCTCCTGCACCTTGTCATCCCACCCGTTTTTCCTGCTAACTGACAAGTGTTAAACAGCCACCTTCCCGAAGCCAGCAGGTGTGGGGCCAGCCTGGCTACAGGTGCTCCAGTACTTATTCTCAGATCAAAGTATGAACTCCACTTGAAACAAAATAGCCACTAAGGCACGGCAGTGATCCCAAACAGCTCTATTTCAAGGAACCACTTAGCAGGTTTTTAAAAATGTGCTTCCTATTAAGGCAGTGTAGATCTACTTCAGGTATCGGGAGGATGCTGACTCTCAGAGCTTCTAATCTTCCTACTGGCTACAAGGTCTCGCACAAGCCTCAGGATGACAGCCATGGGTACGAGGGCTTCTGGAGGAAGCAGCAACCCTGAAGAGCACGGAAGAGTTTTCTCTGGTCCACCTGAGTATAATAATTTGAAAAAATAACATGTATTATTACATATTTATCAGCAGATATCACTTTAGGCAGAAATATTTCTACATGGAAATCGAGCTCCTCCTGTTAGAATTAACCTCTGAAAATCGGAGTGGTGCCTGGAGCCTCCACATGTGTGAGGTTGTTTGCAGCCTGGATTTGAACATAGCTCAGGGGTCTGGCTCCTTCATTGAATTCCTACTCATTTTGTAATAAGTTTGTTACATCTGCTTTTAAACAGAATCAGGACAACACTTGTCAATGTTGCATATTAAAGTGAACCCAGGTGGGCCAGAAGCCTGTGCTCTACAAAGAGAGAAAGTTAGAATTACACTTGCAGGACAAGACAGAGTCTAGTTGCTTAATTTCTTGCTTTCGGTGGCAGCACAGGGACTTTCCTGGTAATCCGTCCTGGCCCGCCCACTGTGGCTGGTGGACATTTCCTGAGTCACTATGGACTTGGGTTTACAGAGTGGCCTGTTCATACCCACTGTGCCCCTTCCCCACTTGAGTCTGCCCTGCCCTGCTCCTCTCCTGGTAGGAAGGGCAGGACCTGGTTGACCCTGAGCCCCTTGACCCCGAGTGCTTCTGGTCTGGGTGCGGCTGTTCATTTTCCTGTGTGTCCCTGCTGACTCTTGCTCCTCTCCCCTCCCGGTCAGAGCCTCAGGCCTGGTATGGCGCTTCCTAAAGCAGTGATCAGCTCGTGTTGCATAACAACCTGTGCTTGAGTCTAAACTGTCTCTTTCTCTCTCTTTTTCTTTCTTTTTCTTATAATCTGCTGGCCGAAGGCTGTTAAAAATATGGTTGGAATGGTGAGTACTACTTTAAGTAGCAACTGTTGTCAGGTGAGCCCCTCAACCCACCCACCCACCCCCGAGGTCCCCTTGGCATGCTCTGAGCACACGTGCTGTGCTGTCTCTCGGAGGCCCATGCCCATGCCAACACTTGCTCGGGCTGGGGTGACTAGTGCCGCTCGCTCAGGTGGTCCATCCCCTTCCTCTGCTCTGGCTCCCCCTTTCCTGCTGCACCCTCTTGTGTTCTTGATTTGACCTTTCAGTTCCATCAGAACAGCTGAGGCAGAAGCAACTGAGTAGTGTTTATAGATTCGGGGAATCCGAAACATCACAGCACGTCAGCAGGTTGAGTGCTGAGGCTCCAGAGCAGGGGTGGGGAACGTCTGGCCCACGGGCCATATAAGGCCCAAGAAATCATTTGGTCTGGCCCTGCCAAGTTATTAGGGATGAGTTAATGAAATGCTTGACCAAATATAGGAGGCTAATTTTTAAGTTAACTTTGTATGGCCCACAAATGATGCTATAAATATCCAAATGGCCCTTGGCAGAAAAAGGTTCCCCACCCCTGCTCTAGAATGTAACCTTGGATTCTTCACCGTTTACCTCAAGATCATAAAGATGGTTTTAATTAAATAGACAAAAAGAGAGGGAGATGACCAGGCCTATGAACCGCCCCCCGCCAGCCCCTCTCCAGTGCTCAGTAGCCCCGCAGCGAATGTGCTCAAGGGAAGACGTGAGGCTGGAAGCAGAAACCCTGACTGTGGGCTGGCCCGTGACCTTTACCAACCCACTGCCCCTTGGGTTTCCCACAGAGAGAACAACAGGCATGAGACACTAAAGAGTATTTCAGATGCTATACAGACATAAGCTCGTTAGTGATGACAGTAACAGGCGAGAGGAGAGGAGCTCGGGGACAAATCCTAGGTGGGCTGGAGGGGAAGGAGGCTTGGGAAGGAGCTCACGTGTTCGCTCTCACTCAGCTCCACCAGGTGCTGGTCCAGCTGCAGGCCTGCGAGAAGGAGCAGGACTTCGCTCTGGCTCCCATCCAAGTCTCCATCAGTGTCCAGCTGTGGCGGCTCCCGGGCTGTCACGAGTTCCTGGCGGCTCTAGGTAGGAAAGACTTATTGGTTTCTTTAGTTCTATTTTTGAAAAATCAAGTTTTCTCCTAATTTCTTTTGGGTACAGTTGGTGGGCTCTCGGGTTTTCTATCTCCCTAGAATTTTTATTATTCAAATAGTTACCCAGAGGTTCTAGTGGTTTAGTACAATTCCCAAAGAGCTCCCCAGCTTTCTCCCATTTCCCTTATGACTTTTTCTCTCATTTGTGGTCATCATTTTAATATGAACCTGCTAGATTCAGTACTGTTGGGAGTCATAAAACAATGGTTTTAATACTGGAAACAGGCAGAAAGAAAATACTATTGAAACCACCTTAGCTTTTACTGTGGGACCTAGAACTGCACGTACAGGCCCCTGTTCAATCCAGGTGCTCACTGTCCTTTTTCAACACTGAGGCAGCTCCCGACAGAACTCCCCTTGTGTCTCTGTGCCTTGCTTGGGAGCCATTCACACCAGTGCTTTTTTTCGTCTACCTGTCATGTGCCAGCCAGTGTCCTATGCACTGGAGATGCAGCAGTGAGCAAAAGACAAAAGGCCCTGCCCTCTTAGACAGACAGTAACCACCTCATCTAAGGGAGGCACCTTAGAAGGTGAGGCGCACTGTGACAGAAAAAGCATCACGGTCCTAGTGACTGGCATGGGGGAGGGCAGAAATGGGTCGAGAAGACATGGGATGGCCTTTGGTTTTAACCTGAGAATGGGGAGTCTTTGGAGGATGACAGCCTGACTTCACTGTTATAGGGACCAGACATGGCAGGACAACAGGTCCTTAAAGAAGAATTTTCTTCTGGTTGTAAGGCCCAGATATTCAGTACTGGGTCATTTTTTCTAACCCATTTTGTAGATGACCTTTCCTAGCCAACCTCAACTTAAGGTAACAAGGGAAACCCACAAAGCCCCCACCGCACACGTCCCCTGTGAATAGGCATTTTAATGTCCTTTAGGATTTGTATTTCCTTAAAGCAGTCTTCTTGGTGTAAACATAGCACTAAATAAAAGTGGTCAGTAGCAAATGGAGAACGAGTGAGAAAGGCCAGGTCTATACCCAGGACGTATCTCTTTTCACTTCCATGACAGGCTGTAGGGCTAGTCTTGGGTAGTAACACAGGTGAGTAAGGAGATGAAGCCAAGACCTTTCTTTATAAAGGAAAAGCTCTTCCGTGCACAGCCTAAGCCTCCCGTGGGTGTAGGTGTGGTGGAGCCAGGCCTCCTTACCTGTGAACTGGGTTTCAGTGCCCATTGTCAGGTGTGTCACTGGCTCTCTGGTGCTGGGATTGTGGGTGATTTTCCTTGATGTTTCTCTACTTCTCTGTACTTTCCAAATCCCATTGATACTCAAGGCATGAGCTGGTATGCACATACTTATAATTTCCAGGTCCTGTGGACTGAGATGGGGGGAAGGGGAAATGCGGCGGCTGGCCATCTAGAGAAATGGCTCCCTCATTCTGAGGGCTCCAAGGGTCTGAAAGATGCCCCCTTTCCAGTCCTCAACATGAAACACATGCCATCAAAACCCATCACAGGGCTGTTGGTTATTTAGAGGACTGAGTTCTATTAGAATCATTTTGGTAAAAGTAGAGGTTTCTAACTAAAATATTATATTTATATTAATTTGTTTTTAAATGCTGAGTTCCCTGAGACCTTCCTGTTGCTTTCAGGGACTGTTTATGATTCAGAGAGGAAAATGTCCCCCAGCAAGCAGAATGCTGAGTAGCTCTTTGAATAAACCTAATTCCCAAAGGAAAGACAGTGTCACACCAATATCAGAATCCTTGAGTAAGAATACTACCTAGACACAAATTTCTCCTTTAGTAACTGCTCTCCGTCATGAAAGGCACAACATGCTGGCGGGCAGCACTGTAAATAACAGGTTCCAATCACTGCAACAGTGAGATCAGAGGAGGGAAAGGGCCTGATCTCACCGGTGCCTGCGTCCGGGACTTCACCACCAAGTGTTGGCGTGGTTAGCGGGGCTCAGTGATCTGCTGAGTGAAGATTCTCCGTGCTGAAGGCTCTTCAGGCCCTAAATTCTTGCTTAGCGGTGCCTTTCTGTGGACAGAGCCCTTCATCACAGCGTGCTTGGCTTCTACCTCCTGAGCTCTTCCTGGGGCGATGCACGGGGTGCCTCTGCAGCGTCTCTTAAGCGGTTGGAGTGCTTGTGGCAATAGCTCACTCAAGCCTCTTGCTCAGGAGGCTCATGCTTTCTGTTGTGCCCCAAGTCTCAGGCAAACCCTTAGACTCGGGGAGCAGCCCCTCGTGGGCTTTGGCAGAGTGGAGTCCCTGCAGGGTGGTTCAGCCAAGAGAGCAGATTCAGATTCTCTACCATCACAGCTCACTCCAAAGCCCTTGGCAGCAGACACTGACCACGTATGAAGATACCGTCCTTGCCACTGAGAAGCTTCCACCTTCCCATGCACCAGCTCTGCATACTGGACCCAATGCCAAAGAGTGGCCAGTTTTTGTCCTGGACTGGCTCCTTTAAGTGGACTGTTCTACAAAAGAATGGAGAAAACAAATGTTAATGAGCCTTACTAATTCCAGCCCTCAGCTCTCAAGAAGGCAGTACAGGCAGGAAAGCAGCCAATGCTCTATGAAGGGACTCGGGAGCCCCAGGCAGGGTGCTTGCGGAGGGGTCTGTGGGGGTTCCCATGACACTGTATGAGGAGCCCTACAGCTCTCATCCTTTTCAGGATATGGAATCTTCCCTAAGGAAGCAGATGTTTATACTCTTTGTTCCTCTAGGTTTTGATCTCTGTGAAGTTGGTCAAGAGGAAGTAATCCTGAAAACCGGGAAACAAGCCAGTCGAAGAACCATGCACTTTGCACTCCAGTCCTTGCTCGCCCTTTTCGGTAAGAGCTCCGCCCAGCGCCCCTGGGGTCAGACACCAGCACATTTTAGGAAGGGGAAAGAAATGTGAAGAAACATTTTTGTGTGTGTATGTGTTAGGGACTGTCCAAGAGCAGTAAAGGAACTCCCTGCTCTCATGGAACTTACAATTAACATACATGTAGCAGATCAGATGAGGTGCTGCCAAGTGCCATGAAGAAAACAAGCAGAGTATACTGGCCTACAAAGTGAAACAGAGGCCACAGAGCAGACAGAATAGGGAGGAGTGGCACCAGGTCACTCAGGCCTGGGAGGGACACCTGCCTACCTGACCTTTAAAGGGCCAAGCTGGCTGCAGAGTGAAGATGAAATGCTGGCTCGATGGTAGCCATGGTTTGATGGCAGCACCAACAGGATCTATTGAAAAATGTCTGTCAGATAGACATCAAAGGTGATACCCTATTTTTGGGAACAACTACCAGAAGGGACTACCTTTTGCTGAAACCTTGAAAGTAGCAGGAAGAATGAGTTTTATCTTGGACGTACTGAGTTTTGTTTTGAATCCTCACCGAAGGATATGTTTTTTATTGATTGGAGAGAGAGAAAAACATTAATTGGTTGCCTCCCATACGCGCACCAACCTAGGATTGAACCTGCAACCTTTTGGTGTACAGAACGATGCTCCAACCAACTGAGCCACCAGGCTAGGGCGGACATACTCAGTTTTGAAGTATCCTTAGACCAGCCGTGGGCAAACTACGGCCCACAGGACGGATCCGGCCCGTTTGAAATGAATAAAACTTAAAAAAAAAAAAAAAGACCGTACCCTTTTATGTAATGATGTTTACTTTGAATTTATATTAGTTCACACAAACACTCCATCCATGCTTTTGTTCCGGCCCTCCGGCCCAGTTTAAGAACCCACTGTGGCCCTCGAGTCAAAGAGTTTGCCCACCCCTGCATTAGACACATACATTAGACACAAACTGGTTCTAGAGTTTAGAGTTCAAGGAGAGGCCATGGTGGAGACGCATGAGTGCATACAGGTCCGAAGGGAAGAGGATTGTGAACATGCCAGGGTTCAAAGGTCACAAAGATGAGGCGAGGCCTGGGAAGGAGTCATCAGAGAAGGCAGAGTGCCATCGACCGCAGAGCTGAGGAGTGAACACGGATGTGGTAGCATGGACGTTATTGGTGACCGTTACGAGAAATGGGAGGACAAAAGCCTGAGTGGAGTTGGTTAAGAGAAAGTGGGAGGAGAGGCAGTGCGGAGAGTGACTCCTGAGGAGGCTGCTGGAAGGCGCAGCGATGGGGCCAGAGCTAGAGGGATAGGGGGTTTGGTTCTAGGACAGGGGACATCATAGATTGCCTACAGGCCCCAGTCAGGGCAGGAGGCAGACGGGGTTGGGGGTGGGGTCCCCAGAAGAGGGAGCAGAGTAGGGAGTGCATGGTGGTTGCAGCGGGGTCTCCTAGGGTGTTTCTGTCCCTATGTAAGATGTCCTTTTCCCAACAGGACTGTGTTTTTCAGAATTACAAGATGAATTCAAGTTGTATATAAGTAGCACTTGTATAATTCTTTACTAGCTTCTATGCATATAAAGATGCTTGTGGTTTTGAAAGAAAAATCAAAACCATATAGAATTCTAACTGCCTTCTGGGTACATACGTTTTGTCTTAGATTCGACTGAGCTGCCCAAGCGCCTCAGCCTCGACAGCTCGTCTTCCCTGGAGTCCCTGGCCTCGGCCCAGTCTGTCTCCAATGCCCTGCCCTTGGGCTACCAGCACCCTCCCTTCTCTCCCACCGGCGCAGAGAGCATCGCTTCGGACGCCATCTCTGTGTACAGTTTGAGCTCCATCGCCTCCTCGATGAGCTTTGTCTCCAAGCCTGAGGGTGGGTCAGAAGGTGGGGGTCCCCGAGGACGGCAGGACTACGACAGGCCCAAGAATGCTTACCCACAGCGATCCACCCTGCCTCGGAGCCAGCTATCCCCTCAGACCCGCCCTACAGGCAGCAAAGATGAGGAAGAATATGAAGGGTTTTCCATCATTAGCACTGAGCCTTTGGCAGCCTACCAAGAAAACAGAAAGACACGCTTCTCACCAGATTACAAACAGTCCCGAGTAGGGACAACTGGAGGTGTGAAAGTTTCCATAAGCTCCAAGGGGAGCATAAGCACTCCAAATTCTCCAGTTAAAATGACTCTGATTCCCAGCCCAAACTCACCCTTCCAAAAGGTTGGAAAACTAGCAAGTTCAGATACGGGAGAATCAGACCAGTCTAGCACAGAAACAGATAGCACTGTGAAATCCCAAGAAGAAAGCAACCCAAAGCTGGATCCACAAGAGTTGGCCCAGAAAATTCTAGAGGAGACACAAAGTCATCTTATTGCAGTGGAACGTCTTCAGAGGGGTGGCAGTCAGACCAGCAAGAATAACAACCCAGAAGATGGCATTTCCATGCCAAATAACACTGCCGTCTTCAGAGCATCAGAAACAAGTGCGTTCAGCAGGCCTACGCTCTCCCATCAGAAGAGTCAGCCATCACCAATTACTGTTAAACCAAAGCCCCCAGCCAGAAGCTCATCCCTGCCCAAGGTGAGTTCAGGATACAGCAGCCCCACCACCTTGGAGGTGTCCATCAAAGACAGCCCGAGCCAGCATAGTGGCCGCCCGTCGCCCGGCTCTGATTCCCAGACTTCCCTGACTGACCAGCCTCTCTTTAAACTGAAGTATCCCAGCTCTCCTTACAGTGCCCACATTTCCAAATCCCCAAGGAACATGTCCCCAAACTCAGGCCACCACTCTCCTGCTGGTAGTGCACCGTCCCCAGCTCTCTCCTATTCCTCAGCTGGTTCTGCTCGCTCGAGTCCAGCTGATGCTCCCGACATAGATAAACTGAAAATGGCAGCCATTGACGAAAAGGTGCAGGCTGTGCACAACCTGAAGATGTTCTGGCAGAGCACACCCCAGCATTCCACAGGACCCATGAAAATATTCCGGGGGACCCCTGGAACGATGACTTCCAAAAGAGATGTCCTCAGCCTGTTAAATCTGTCACCTCGGCACAACAAGAAGGAGGAGACCGTAGACAAGCTTGAACTCAAGGAGCTGTCTTTGCAACAACACAGAGAAACACCACCAAAACCCCCTCCCAACGGACACTGGCGCAGCGAGACCACCACGTTGAGCACGCTGCCACCACCCGCCGGCCCTCCTGCTGCAGCCCCCACTCGCCCTTTGAGACTTCCTTCTGGCAACGGCTACAAATTTCTGTCCCCGGGAAGGTTTTTTCCTTCCTCCAAATGCTAAAGCATCTTTGTGCCAGGGACTCAGTGCAGCAGCCTGCAGATGACCTGTTCGCTTGGCCTACTCCCTGTCTGAGTGCAGTCACCCCACAAAGCCACCAGCTATCTCACAAAGGGTGCACTCCAGGCCAGGGCACCACCACACACACAGATGGTGGCTTCTCTGGGTCAGGTTCATCAAAAGCCAGCACTTCTGTGGGATTGGTACAGGAGGCTCATGGAATTTTCTACACACTTCACCAAATGTTTACCTTTGAACTCTCTGCTTCTCATCTTTGATGTGATTCTTCAACAGGATTTTTGTATTAAAAATGGCCAGGGTTCTGGGGTGGGGAGAGGAAAGGGAGCACATATTTTGCTAAGAGGTATATATGCAGTACCTTTTATACACAGAAATACAAATAGAGCTTTTTTAAGGCTTTCAGGTGCTGACTGGGGGTGGGATATATAAAATCTCTCTAACTTGAATTCTACATGAAAATGTTATATTAGCCAAAAACAGAATAATGGTTTAAAAAATGCCAATGATTTTAAATTAAATTGTAGCAGTTTTGGTCTCATGATACTGTAACATCACAGTAACAATGCAATAATTCACATCAAAACAGCGCTTCCATCCTGAACTTGGTTTTGTTGAGCTCTACAAATATCCTTGGGGCCCACCGTCAACCAAACTTGAATTTTCTTAAAAAATTTATATAACTCTTATCCAGGCATTTCAGAACTATGCAATTGCGATTTAAAATGCAATTTTGTGCTTTTAAAACATTACTGACTTTTTTGTACGTGGATGAACAACTTGGTTTTATTATCAATAGTACTTTGCATTTATAGCTATTATTTTTAAAAGCTCAGAAAGTTTTTTAAAATGTCAAATTTTGAATAGTCATCAATAAGTAATTATCAAGCTTTGGGGTGGAAAGACTGAAATTGATACTCAGTTTCCTTATAAGCAAAAAAATAAAAATAAAAAAATAAAAAAATCCTCTAACTAGATTTAACCAGAATCTAGCCTTCCAGCTCCTATTCCCTTTATTAGCTGCTTAATTTTATTATCTTTTCCCACCTCCAGGCCTCTAAAACCACTTCTAACTCTGTTGCCAGGTTCCCACAATCCCAGCACCCCATGTCTGTGAGCTACACAGGGACCCTCATCTTCGCTGCGACCGGGGCCCCCTGCTCTCCCACAGAAGGCTTTATGTCCATAGCCCGAGAAGCAGGGCCTTGGGTATATTTACATCCAAATACTGCTGAACAGGGAAACACATCCCTGAAGGTGTTGCCAGCTGGGAAGAGACAAAATAATAGTCTAGAGAAGGGTGACATTAACATATCCAAATAAAGAAATGCAATGCTGAAAGTTCTATCAGTGCTAAGGTTAGCTGGAGAATGTAAAGAAGCCTCTCAGGTAATTCTAAAATGAAAAGCCTTCACCCTCACTGTGAGGATGTATCACACAAAGGTGGGCTTGGCCCGGGGCACCCGCAGCACAGGGAGCGAGTGGACGTGAGGGGCCTGGCATAAGGGTCACAAACATCAAGACCCACAGGGAGAGATCTTAACCTTGGGTAGGATGCCACTCTGTAAACATGACTGGTCCTGCTCCTCGGTATACTCTGAAAGAGGAAGGGATAATATTTATTCAATTTGTGTTATTCTCTGCTATGTCGTAGAGGTTTTTGCATTTAACCCAACAGCCATGTCCACAAAAGCAAACAATAAGGCTGTCCCAGTCTAACCCTGATCTAATGCTGGAAGAGAAATAACTTTATGTCAATAGGAAAAAAATAAGTGGTAATAAAAGTACTAGTGTAGCAAATGAAAGCCAAGTTTACAGCACTGTGCATTAGATAACAAAATCAGGTTCTCCATTATGAAAACTAAACCTCACAGTAAATTTCTGAATCTATATGTAGATAGTTGGGCTGTTCCTTTCTTAGCAAATCTCAGCCTCTTTCCCAAGTGCCAAGGAGCCCTGGACGGAAGGCCTGGGTCTGTGCTCTGTCCGTGAGGACAAGGCTGCTGCCCATTTGCCCACCTCTAGCTCATGCCTCCACCACACCACACCGCTTCCCGAGGTTATCAGGCCAGCCAGGAGAATTCGTGGACCCTAACTTGGTTTCAGTCCTACGTACATTATTGTTACAGGTTTCATGTTGAAAAGCCAAATGGTATATGTGTTTTTTGTGTTGTTCTAGATATAAGCTACAATGAGGGAAAGCTGAGATGGTGAAATAATAGGACCAAACAAAATCACGGTAGAGTCGTTGCTTCTTGATGTTTACTGTCACTCTTGGTGTTTTCTACAGGAATAAAATGGATGTAAAATCAGAGTGAATTTTTCAGGCTATACTGAAAAAAAAAAAAGGATGCACTTAAAAATTGTGAGATTGGGTAATTCACAGATTTCTTTGTACAGATCAAGAGTTGGCAAACTACAACCCAGAGGCTAAATCTGGTCAGAGGCCTGGTTTTTTTTACAGCCATGAGCTAGGAATAGATTTTACATTTTTAAACAGTTATCTAAATACCCACATAACATTCTTGATTTTTTCCTCTTGGCCCACAAAGCCTAAAATATCTAAATACCTGGCCTTTTAAGAAAGTTTGCTGAGTCCTGGTATAGATAACAGAAAACACAATCAGAATAATGTGTTGTTTCTACAATCAAGGGGAATTGTCAGGTTATAGACAAAATCGATTGGCATTCATGAGAACTCTGAGGCACATGGATAGAAGCGAATGACTCCTCCATACATAGTCTTTGGCTTTTTGCTCCATCTTGGAAGGAGTCAATGGATGTGGGTAAAATTTACAAAAATTACTTTTTCTTTTCCATATGCAAATCCCATTGGATACAATTCGATTTCAGCTCAGGAAACTGGAATGCCCTGCCCCTACTGTACTCATCAGATGCAAATACACTGAACACAAGCAATAAAATCTCCCTTGCCTAGCAGCCTTGGTATGACCACAAAGCAAGGTAGGAGTAGATTCTACCTTAATTCTCACCAGTGAACTACTCAGCTACTTTGCCTTTTAACTAAGTCAAAATACCAAGACACAATTAGCTACTAAAATTTACATTAGTGTGTAGTAAAATGAAAAAATTCTCACCTCCATCCATTTGAAAAAAAATCATGGTTCGCACTGATGCTTGCTGGGTCTCAGCAGGAGACCAGTGCTGCACACACTGTCCCTATCCTGACCTTGTCCCAGTGACTCTCAGTAGGTGATCATGGTAGCAAGTCTCAGTATGGTGCCTGCCTGTCACGCCACTTCCCACCACAAGGGGAACTGTCACTTTGTTAGTTTCACTTAAGGCTGGAAAAAATACCACCCAATAATCTGGTTTGCTTTTAATAAGTAGGCAGAAAGTGAAAAGTGTATAATATTTCATCACCTATTTTGTTGTTTTATCTAAAATGATTGTACATGTGGTTTGTGAACTGGGCCCTTGTTTGTGCCAGATCCTTCAAAGATATTCCATGTAAGGATACATGTGGTCACCTCTCCCTTCCTCAGACCCCTGCCCCACTTGGCACTCACACCCGTTGTATGCAGAGGTAGCCATCTTTGGCCTATGTGGACATTTTTGTAAATTACAGTTTCCAGATGGCATTAAACTTTTTATATTATGAAATTTATCATGTAAAAAGAACTTCATATTTTTATTGAGATTGCTAAGGCACTTGGCCTTCTTTTGTGATTTCGGTGTCTATTAAAGCATGAGTTCCCTCGGCTTCGAGTGCTGTATCTGAATCACTGTCTATACACATGCCACCCTTTCTAGGTCTCTCCGCAGTGCACAGGGTAGTCATGTGTCATTAATAAGCACGTATCTGTCTAGAGGTTTATCCTTGTAAATACACTCGACCCTCACATTTGCCAGGAAGACAATGGACAGCAGGCCAATCCGCATGCAGGCTTCTCCAGCGCCAAGGCATTAGGTATCTGTTAGTGGGTGGCTATTTAGATGCTAAATGCTTCTGATATTCTGTGATCAGAGTTGGAGGACCAGAAAATTCTAGTTACATTATTAAGTGTTTAGACAAAACAAAACAGAGTTCATTACAACCAGATCCCTCTATCTAAAGAAACTTCTAAGGAAAGTATTTCATAAAGAATGAAAACAGTCCTACATGTAAAAGTCTGAGAAGCATGATGGACTAGTGAACAAAGAACTAGGTAAATGTGAATAAATCAAAACAAATATTGACTGTATAAACAGAGTACTGTCTTATTTGGGTAACAATAAAAATAATAGATAACATGTAAAACAAGGAAGTTAAAGTATTACAGGTTGTTTGGGAAGAGTAGGTTACTTTTTAGAGTAAATTAAATAAATGTACATAATCACCCACAAAAATAGAAACAGATGGCTATACTTCCAAACTAGCTGGGGGATGAAAAATGAGTAAAGTTTGTAAAACTTGATTGATCTAAAGAAATAGAAAAAAGGAGGGAACAACAAAAACTATTTTAAAAGCAAGACAAATACAAAATAAGAAAAATTACCAATAATCATGATAAATTTCAGTGAACTAAATAATTAAAAAGGAGATCAACAGCCAATAGCAATATGCCACATGCTCCTTAAGAAACTATATACTATTTGGAAAAAAAAACACACCAAAGCATATGGCCCCAAAAATTTGACAATAAAAGGATCAGCAAAATAGCTATTAAAGTAAAAGGCACCGATAAAAAAAAAAAGAGTCATATTCTAATGTTTAAATAATAGCAGAAAGGCAAAATTCTGAATTGGTATGCAGATAACCATATAGCTTCAAAATTCATAAGGTAAAAATTGGCAGAACTACAATTTTGGAAAACCACGCTATCATACTTTGAGATTCTACCTTCTACTCTCAATTATTGATGGATGAAATAGAAATTTAGAAAGCGTATAGGTTTAAACAAATTCAGCAAACAGCCTTATGAAATGGAAAGAGCCTGGTCTCTGATAGTGAATCCATACTCTTCACAAGCACACATGGAATTCTCCTATATAATAAAAGCCTAATATGCAAATTGTCCTCTTGGGCAGTTGTTCCACCAGGAGTTTGGGAGACTGGGAGTTCGACTGCTTGTAATGATGTGCTAACTACTGATGAAATTGAAATAGTAATAAAAAAACTTCCAGCAAACAAAAGCCCTGGACCGGATGGCTTCACAGGGGAGTTTTACCAAACATTCAAAGAACTGAAACAGTGATGGCGAACCTTTTGAGCTCGGCGTGTCAGCATTTTGAAAAACCCTAACTTAACTCTGGTGCCGTGTCACATATAGAAATGTTTTGATATTTGCAACCATAGTAAAACAAAGACTTATATTTTTGATATTTATTTTATATATTTAAGTGCCATTTAACAAAGAAAAATCAACCAAAAAAAATGAGTTCGCGTGTCACCTCTGACACGCGTGCCGTAGGTTCGCCATCACTGAACTAAAACCTATTCCCAAAAGCAGATAAAGACACTACAAAGAAGGAGAATTACAGGCTAATGTCCCTGATGAACATAGATGCTAAAACCCTCAACAAAATCCTAGCAAATTGGATGCAGCATTACATTAGAAAGGTCATACACCATGAGCAAGTGCGATTTATTCCAGGGATAAGAGGCTGGTACAATATCCACAAATCACTAAATGTGTTACATCACATAAACAAATTGAGAGAGAAAAATCACATAATCTTATCAATTGATGCAGAACAGGCATCTGAGAAAATCCAACACCCTTTCCTGATAAAAAATCAGCAAAGTGCGAATAGAAGGATCATACCTCAACATAATAAAAACCTTATATGACAAATCTACAGCTAACATCATACTCAATGGGCAAAAACTTCAGCCATTTCCCCTAAGAACAGGAACAAGACAGGGATGCCCACTTTCACCACTCCTGTTCGACATAGTACTGGAAGTGCTAGCCATAGCGACCAGACCAGAAGAAATAAAAGGCATCCAAACTGGAAAAGAAGTAAAATTGTCATTGTTTCAGATGACATGATATTGTACATAGAAAACCCTAAAGACTCCATAAAAAAACTACTAGAATTAATAAATGAATTTGGCAATGTAACAGGATACAAAATTAACACCCAGAAATCTATGGCTTTTTAAAAAATATATTTTTAGTTATTTCAAAGAGGAAAGGAGAGGGAGAGAGAGCGCGATAGAAACATCAATGATGAGAGAGAATCACTGATCAGCTGCCTCCTGCACGCCCCACACTTGATTGAGCCCACAATCCGGGCATGTGCCCTGACCGGAATCAGACCATGACCACCTAGTCAGCGGTTCTCAACCTGTGGGTCGCGACCACTTTGGCGGTCGAACAACCCTTTTACAGGGGTCGCCTAAATACATCCTGCATATCAGATATTTACATTACGATTCATAACAGTAGCAACATTACAGTTTTGAAGTAGCAACGAAAATAATTTTATGGTTGGGGGTCACCACAACATGAGGAACTATTAAAGGGTCACGGCATTAGGAAGGTTGAGAACCACTGTCATAGGTCAATGCTCAACCACTGAGCCACGCCGGCTGGGCTCTATGGCTTTTTTATATACCAATAATGAACTCACAGAAAGAGAAACTAAAAAAACAATCCCATTTACCATTGCAACAAAAAAAAATTAAGATACCTAGGAATCAATTTAACCAAGGAGGTAAAGGACCTGTACTCAGAAAATTACAGGATGCTGAAAAAATAGAGGAAGATAAAAAGAAATGGAAGAATATACCATGTTCATAGACTGGTAGAATCAACATCATTAAAATGTCCATACTACCTAAAGCAATCTATAGATTCAATGCAATCCCCATTAAAATACCTACGACGTATTTCACAGACCTAGAACAAACTCTCCAAAAAATCATCTGGAATAAAAAAAGACCCCGAATAGCTGCAGCAATCTTGAGAAGAACAAAGTTGGAGGGATCAAATACCAGATATCAAGCTATACTACAAAGCCACTGTTCTCAAAACTGCCTGGTACTGGCACAAGAATAGACAAATAGACCAATGGAACAGAACAGAGAACCCAGAAATTGACCCAAACCACTATGCTCAATTAATATTTGACAAAGGAAGCAAGAACATACAATGGAGTCAAGACAGTCTAGTCAATAAATGGTGTTCAGAAAATTGGACAGATACACGCAAAAAAATGAAACCAGACCACCAACTTACACCATACACAAAAATAAACTCAAAATGGATAAAGGACTTAAATGTAAGACAGGAAACCATAAAAATCTTAGAAGAAGCTATAGGCAGCAAAATAGCAGACATTTGTTGTAGCAATATCTTTACTGATACAGCTCTTGGGCAATGGAAACTAAGGAGAAAATAAACAAATGGAACTTCATCAAAATAAAAAGCTTCTGCACAGCAAAAGAAACCATCAACAAAACAACAAGAAAGCACATTTGCCAATGTTATCTCCAATAAGGTTTTTTTAAAAAAATTCTTTATTAAGTTGGTTGCATAAAAGATATATTCTCATACTGACAATTCTTGTCATGAATAAAATCAACAAAAATAAGGCAGTAGCAAGACATGCTTCACAAACAATCAAGTGGTAAGAATAAAAAATCTGACCTGTACAACAAAAAGATTAGGAAGCAAAATGTGAATAAGCCCTGGATTCAAAAATATACCTAAAGACACAAAAAGCACAATCCATGAAGATAAATAGGCAATACAGAACAGGGGAATCCTAAGGGGCCATTAAATACAAAGAAAGATCACCAACCTCAATAGCAATCAGAGAGATACAAATTAAAAACATCAAAGATTCCTTGTTTATGATGCATAATTTCTTTATCAACCATTTGTGAAATAAGAATGAATGTTAAGAAATATGAAATCCAAATTGCATTTATTTTACAATATCAATGCTAAATTCAATAACAACTTCATTGAATCTAAATATTAAAGGTTTCAAAAATAAAAGGCAATCTTAATTTTTTTAACCATATGAATAGGGTCTGCCAAAAAAAGTGCATTATTTTATTCTACTTGCAAGGAGAATAGGTCTCAACCTGCAGTTAAGTGGCATGAGCAACAAAGGACAACAAATATCACTAAGAGTAATGCCCATACATATAAAAATATCTAGATGAACCATGTTCTTTCTGTTTATATAGCGAGTCTATTAAACAATCAGCATAATGGTTTTAATCTCCAAAATTTATAGGGAACTCATACAACTTAACGAAAGGAAGGTAAACAATCCAATCAAAAAATGGGAAAAGGACCTAAATAGACACTTTTTGAAAGAGGACATACAGAAGGTCGAGACACATGAAAACATGCTCAAAGTCACTAGTCACCCGAGAGATGCAAATCAAAACGACAATGAAGTACCATCTCACACCTGTCAGAATGGCTATCATCAACAAATCAACAAACGACAAGTGCTGGCGAGGATGCTGAGAAAAAGGAACCCTCCTTCACTGCTGGTGGGAATGCAGACTGTGCAGCCACTGTGGAAAACAGTATGGCGTTTCCTCAAAAAATTAAAAATGGAACTTCCATTTGACCCAGTAATCCCACTTCTAGGAATATATCCCAAGAAATCAGAAACACCAATCTGAAAGGATATATGTACCCCTATGTTCATAGCAGCACAATTTATAATACTATAGCTAAGATTTGGAAACAAGCCTAAGTGCCCATCAGCAGATGAGTGGATTAGAAAACTGTGGTACATCTACACAATGG